CTTGTTGTGGTACTCGCCTCGTTCTGCACCGGCTACTGAGCACCGCATCCTGCTACGTACTAATCACCCCCATAACCTATAGCTATAGTCGCTGTTGTGTCTATATATATATACATATAATATGTATAAAAATGTATATCAAAGTAAATATAACTATATTTAGAGACGATGTATATTTATAGAACGATTTCGGGGGCGGCGCGCGCGTGCTTCACATCTTACTTCCACATCGATGTAGTCATCCCCGTGTGCGTCGTAGTTTCTATCGTAGACTGTGTTGTTCTGGGTCATCTGCTACACGCGCCCGTGCGGGCAAAGAAAATCCACATAATATATGAAAATCATGATGATATTACGATATAAACGTGTGCTATCGCGCAACAATGGGCAGTAACACTCTCTCGTATGTAATATCATGCGAAGCGGCAGAGAAATCTTTACAGAACCGCGTGAGATTATATCATCGATATTTCCACGACATTCAACCGTCGCTTATTACAAACTTCTATGGCAAATCGAATTGTTAACGTGTTTAAGCATAATATAGCGACTACATTGTGTAAGCCTAACGACTGTCAATCACGACACCGTATACCAATCAGTCGGATACAGACACATCGAAAACCAGCGAACAATCAATACGCAACACCGAATGGAAGCTGCTAAGGCTTCGTGTGAGTGTATATATAGACACAACAGCGACTATAGCTATAGGTTATGGGGGTGATTAGTACGTAGCAGGATGCGGTGCGCAGTAGCCGGTGCAAGACGAGGCGAGTACCACAACAAGTAAAGTATATATATATATATACACATATATATATATATATACACACACATATATATCTATACACATATATATATATACATATATATACGCACGTAGATCCTCCGAGCTCCACGTAAACTATACATGCATCTCACGCGGTGGCAGGAGCTCATGAGAACGAATGGCTACTATCAACAGCTCATAATAACTCTCTATTATCAGCTCTTGCTACTATGTTAATCATACGACCAATGCTAATACTACGTTAGAGAAGCGGAGGCAGGAGCATGGGGGCAGTTTGTCTGAGGGGAGAGAAACTTGTCTGATGTCGGCGCTCTTTCGTTAGCTGAATAAAATATGTTCGTGTACATCGCCTCACGGATACAATTTGAGCTAAGTGCAAAATTCACGTCATTCCCACGGCTGAGCCTCAGGTGACTTTACAGATAAAGTAAAATTAAACCTGCGAGGCGGATAAAAAACCGGATTTGCGCTTTTTTGCCGCTTAGCCTTCACTTTACACATATATACTGTCACCACTCGTGTCTAGACCACGATTATTATTATTATTATTATTATTATTATTATTAATTCTTTATTGCATGTAATTCAAATACACCTATATATATACTGAAGACAGTCTTTTTCATCGAGAAAGAAATATTATCATCTGGCAAACTAATTTGGCTTACTTTGGCTATTCGGGTGCGTGTGATTGTAGTTAACATAATACTAGTTAATTAACGTGGATGCAGCATATGCAGGTTAGGAGTGCTTACGATCGGCCTCAGGTCCGGATGAAAGAGAATGTAGCCGTTGTTCGTTATGGCAAACGAATATCCGTTCGGCCCCAACTGCAACAAATGCAACAAGCTGTAACAAACTGCAACAAATTGCAACAAACTGCAACAAACTGCCAGCAGATAAGCAGACAAAATACAAAGATGAAAAAAAACATTTCGCTTGTGTAGAAGCATGTGAGCAGCGGCAGTATGTGACGTCACATACCTGGAATTGCGGAGTCAGTTTCAACAGCTCCTTTAGAGGCACGTCTGTTCCCATGACACCTAGTAGGTGGCCATACTCGGCCTGCGAGGCAAGATACAATAGATTAATTAATTAATCAATTGATCGATTGATAGGTAGAATTATATTTTCGTCAAATCTTGTCCGGTCTTTAGAATTTTGGTGGCATTTTAAAGCGGGGACTTCAAAAACTCCAAACTTCTTGGCTCATTTTGTTGCAATCGGTCACATTTATGGTCGCTGTCGCCAGTTTGCGGGCAACTGCTGGTATATATTTCTACCTATCTGACCAAGTGAAATTCTAAACCCGAAGTAATTCGATTCTTGTTCTGCCTCTTACTCACTCTGAACTCTAGTAAACCTGCATCAACATCCGCGTAACGTCAAACCATCACCTAATAAATTTATGAAGCCTTGCGTGTCGCCCGGGTGTTTGTTACAACAGCGCGCGAACAATGCAATCGGCGTAAGATTAGCGCAAATTTAAAATCTCAAATTAAGATTTAAATTAATTAACGTATCTCTCGTCGCTCGCGTCATGGATAGAAGCTGCAGCTGCTGCTACACACCCACCGTTGTCGGATTGCGACCAAACACGGGCTGAGCTACTGACGTCATCATCCGGAGATCCTGAAACGAGATGCGGCCGCAGGGCGGCGCTGCTGTCATTTTCGCGCAGCAATTCAGCAGCAATTACGGTCGGCATATGCGTATCCGCGCGACGTCATGGTACGTCACGCAACGAACTCGGGTATTTCCGAAGTTGAATGCATGCAGCCTGCTGATGGTGCTGGTGGTTGCGCATGGTCATATTCCATACTACGCATATCAACTTCCGCATCAGACTTTCCGTATATCAAGGAATACGTTGTAGATACTGACAGATATCTATCTATCTATCTATCTATCTATCTATCTATCTATCTATCTATCTATCTATCTTATCTATCTATCTATCATGCTATCTATCTATCTATCTATCTATCTATCTATCTATTATCTATCATCTATCTAATCTAATCTATCATTATCTATCTAATCTATCTATCTATCTATCATATCTATCTATCTATCTATCTATCTATCTATCTATCTATCTATCTATCTATCTATCTATCTGCTCTCGTCTCTTATATATATATATATATCATATATATAGTACTATATATATAATCAAGAGTACATAACGGGAGAATATATATATATATATACATATAATATGTATAAAAATGTATATCAAGTAAATATAACTATATTTAGAGACGATGTATATTTATAGAAACGATTTCGGGGGCGGCGCGCGTGCTTCACATCTTACTTCCACATTCGATGTAGTCATCCCGTGTGCGTCGTAGTTTCTATCGTAGACTGTGTTGTTCTGGTCATCTGCTACACGCCGCGCGTGCGGGCAAAGAAAATCCACATAATATATGAAAATCATGATGATATTACGATGATAAACGTGTGCTATCGCGCAACAATGGGCAGTAACAGTCTCTCTCGTATGTAATATCGATGCGAAGCGCAGAGAAATCTTTACAGAACCGCGTGAAATTATATCATCGATATTTCCACGACATTCACACCGTCGCTTATTACAAACTTCTATGGCAAATCGAATTGTTAACTGTGTTTAAGGCATAATATAGCGACTACATTGTGTAAGCCTAACGACTGTCAAATCACGAACACCGTATACCAAATCAGTCGGATACAGACACATCGAAAACCAGCGAACAATCAAATACGCAACAGCCCGAATGGAAGCGCTAAAGGCTTCGTGTGAGTGTATATATAGACACAACAGCGGACTATAGCTATAGGTTATGGGGGTGATTAGTACGTAGCACAGGATGCGGTGCTCAGTAGCGCGTGCAGAAACGAGGCGAGTACCACAACAAGTAAAGTAATATATATATATACACATATATATATATACACAACACATATATCTTATACACACATATATAAATATTATATATATATATTGATATATATACGCACGTAGATCCTCCGAGCTCCCACGTAAACTATACATGCAGTTCACGGCGGTGGCAGGAGCTCATGAGAAACGAAATGGCTTACTATCAACAGCTCACAATAGCTCTCTATTACGGCTCTTGGCCAATTGGTTAATTCATACGCATCACTGCTATACTACGTTAGAGAAAGCGGAGGTAGGAGCATGGGACAGTTTGTCTGCAGGGAAGAGACACATTTGTCTTGATGTCGGCGCGTCTTTCGTAGCTGAATAAAATATGTCGTGTACACTCGCCTCACGGATTACAGATTTGAGCTAAGTGAGCAGAAATTCACCGTCATTCCCACGGCTGAGCCTCAGTGACTTTACAGATAAAAGTAAAATTAAACCTGCGAGGCGGATAAAAAACCGGCAGGATATGTGATACATAAAAAACTAATTCTCTCTCTCTCTGGTCCTCTGCTCTCTCTCTCTCTCTCTCGCTCTCTCTCTTCTCTCTCTCTCAAGTCTCTCTCTCCCTTATCGTCTGGGTCTGTGCTCTCCCTCGCTTCTCTTCGCTTTCCTTCTCCCTCGTCTTTCTCATCGCTCTCACTCTCTCTCTCTCTTCTATCTCTCTCCTCTCGTCTCTTCCTTCTCTCTCTCTCTCTCTCTTTCTCTCTCTCCTCTCTCTCTCTCTCCTCTTTCTCTCTCTCCTCTCCGTCTCTCTCTCTCTAAAACACATGACAGACCATTCATACACATGTCAGCACACAGATGTTAGCTGATTTTGTTGGCCCGTATCGTCGCGCATATAAGCGTAATACGAATTCCGCACTTAATAACGGAATCCTGTTCGTCATCCATCACTATATATTCGAAATAGCCGTTGTATGCTCGTTCTGAATAAGACCTAAGTATGGAGTGAGTAAGTAAAGCTTTTCTGCCCAAATGTCGATTATGTATGGGGAAGTAGGCATTTACAGACAAAATGGAATCATTCTCTTGTAATTCCTGAGATGGGCTAAACGCTCGCATTAGAAGTGTTTCCAACTTTGATATCATTTAAATGATTAAGATTAATTAATCCATAACTCCTAACCTAACCTAATAAAATAAACCCAACCAGTAAATGACATTAAAGTTGGGAACAATCCTAATAGAGTATCACCGCCTGATGATGGGCTACATAGGAGGTGTAATCAATCGAAAACGAGAACCCGACAGGTAAGTACATATTGAGACATTTGGTTGAGACACGCCATGCAATGATAATTTAATACAGTGCGAGGCAAAATTTCTAAGTCACTGTAGAAGTTTATTAGTCATAATATTATTAAGTTCTCATTAAAGTATGCGAATTGTTAGTCATCCCCTTGTTTGATTAATGCCAGGTAATATGTACAATGATTCAACTAATCTTTTGTTGTCTTTTTGTTTGCAATTTCATTATACTTTTCGCTTGCCCATATTTTCTGTTATTGTTATTATGAATGATCGGCTGTTTGTGTTGTTTGGTTGTTGTTGTTGTTGTTATGTTGCTAACGCAGCTGGCAGTCCTTGCCGTTGTCGTGGCGTCGGTGCCTTCTCATGTGATCATTATGTTGTTGTTGTTGTTGTTGTCGTTGTCGTCGTTGCTTGCTGCGCTTGCTGGCTGCGCTGCCGCTGCTGCGCGCTGCTGATGTTGCTACTAATGCTGCTGGCTGCTGCTGCTGCTGCTCGCCTGCTGCCGCTGCTGCTGCCAGCTACTGCTGCTACTGCTGCACGTCTGCTGCTGCTGCGCTGCTGCTGCTGCCTACTGCTACTGCTACTGCTACTGCGACTGCTACTAGCTACTGCTACTGCTGCTTGCTGCTGCTGCGCTGCTGCTGCTGCTGCGGGCCTACTGCCGCTGCATGATGCTGGTTTACTACTTGCTACTCTACTGCTGCTGCTGCTGTGCTGCTGGTGATGGCTGTTACTTACTGTTACTGCTGCTGCTACTGCTGCTAATACCTGCTGCCGCTCGCTACTACTACTGTCGCGCGGTTAATGCTAAGTTTGTTGATCAGGCTGGCTTTACTAAGCTGTACGACGCTGGAATGAAATTGCGCTGTTACGTTGACACTACGACACTACCAAGCAAGCACCGCCCCCCCGTGCCGTCGAAATTTTTTTCCACTTTGAGTTCCGGACCAAACAGCCAATCAGCGCACTGCATCAACACATCGACTATCCTCGAAGCACAATGGTAAGAATGAAATACGCACCTATTTCCTAACGTATAACCCTAACCTAACACGTACCCCTACCGAACCCTAACACTAAACTATAATCACCATATATTATACGAAACCAATATATTACAAAACAACTATCTATGGTGGGTCAGGAACTTCAAGTGGGAAAAAAAATTCGCAGGGCCGCCCGGCCGGAAAACGGTGACAGCTGACAGCTACTAACAGCACGAAGTCTTACAGTCATCAGGCACAACACACAGGAGAGGGATTCCAACATTCTAAGCTCCGACGGTTTATTAATCAGTGGAGGAGTCGTAGCAACGTGTGCACACGGTGAGATTAAGGTAGCGATTTACGAAGCAGAACGCGTGAAATACACTTTGATGCCGTAAAGTGTTCTGGTAAATTGTCCACGTACAAAGGATAAAGAGAAGAGAGAGAGAGGAGGAGAGAGAGAGAGAGAGACGAGACGAGAGAAAGAGAGAGAGAAGAGAGAGAGGAGAGAGAGAGAGAGGAGAGCGCGAGAGAAAGAGAGAGAGGAGAGAAGAAAGGAGAGAGAGAGAGAGAGGAGACAGCGGAGAGAGATGGGGAAGAGAGAGAAGGAAGTAAATAAAGAAAAAAGAGGCGAAAGAGTGAGTGAGCGAAAGAAAGATAGATCAGATAGATAGACAGAGGGAGAGAGAAGAGAGAGAAAGAAAGAAAAGAGTGTGTGCATGCGAAGCAGGCGCGAAACAGAGAGCAAGTGAGACCGGATGAATAGGTATCACTAACAGGCTAACGTGTTGTTTGTTGGTTGTTTAGTTTTTGTTGTTGTTGTTGTTGTTGTTCTGTGTTGTTGTTGTTATTATTGTTGTTTGTTTGTTGTGTTGTTGTTGTTGTTGTTGTTTGTTTGCATCACACTGAGTATGAAGATAAGTAAAGGCCGTGCTTTCGTAAACCATCTCATGTTGCATTGAATAATTAAAGGATTCTATAACACCCATAAAAAAACAGTTTTATATTAGTTTGATCCATAATAAGTTGATAACTAATATAAGTACTGTACCCCGACAAATTTTTCGTCCCCGATCTCTCCAAGCGATTTTTGAGAATGGACGAAAATTTCGTCAGTGAAGTAATATAACTTATATGGATTTAATAAGATCAACTTTATTTTTGGATCTTTGTGTCGTC